TGCCTCGAAAATAACTTATATATATATATAAATATATATATATATATATACATACATACATATTTATTTATACACATATGTACACAGTTCACCTTTAACATAAAAATATATCTGTTGAGGTATAAGAGAATATAGAAAGGTGAGATTAGTAAAATAAGTACATGGTCATAATCAGTTGAACTTCTGCCACAGTTATGGGTAGCACTCTGACACTTACCTAAAGTTCCAGCTTACTGGGCAGTTGGCCTATTCAAACCTTTTGACACAAATACTCTACAACCTAACTAGCAACCTCTGTGTCTGTAGACTGGAGACATGGTATGGAACAGAGAAGAAGCAATTAATGCATGGAATTAGGATGCAGTATTTATAAGATAGATGTATATGCCACAGCCAAGAGCTAACTGATCCACTGAGATAACAACACTTCCAGACACAGAGGTGTACAAGCTATTAGACTGTTAGCAGGGCAGCTAAAAAAACACTTAGGAAATAATACATTCCCAGTGCAGCCATGTTAACATTTTTGTATCACATCCCTACATATGGTTATGTGGTCATTGATGTCTCTTACCTGAGCGTGGAATATAGAAAGTGATTTTGCAGAGTGCAGTGGTATTAGTACACGGACAAGAAACTGTTTGTGTTCTGATTTCAGGGGTAAAGCAAAGCCATTGATGATACTGGGAAAAGAAAAGCAACACGACTTTCAGGTTGTATAAACACATGATTATCTTAATGGTCAAAATTGAGTTTGTATAAAGTAATATGTTTATGTTGTGTTCTGGACACTCTGACCCATCCAAACCAGGGGCAGGCAACCTTGGCACACCAGCTGTGATAAAACTACAAATCCCATTATGTCTCTGTCCCTGGTAATCATGCATGTCAGAGTCAAGCAATGTCTCATGGGACTTGCAGTTGGGATGCCTAACCCATCTAACCTAACCAGAATAACCAAGGATGCCTAGAGCCACTAGCATGATAGAAAAAGGTTATTGTCAACGTGCAGGCTTTGGCAGTACCCAGTCATCACCAAAGCCTCTTGCAATGTGTGCAGTGAGCACTCTCAGAGTGTGGTCCCTGGGATAGCCTTGTTGGTGATGTTAGGTATTTAGACAGGCTAAGGCAAGGTACCATTCATTAGACAAGTTCATAATCAGTGTCAGCCCAAGAGTTGGATCCAACTGTGTGGAGATGTTGGGAGGGACAGAGGCACAAGCATAGCAGCAGAGTAAAGTCAAGAGTCACTGTAAATGGAGCCAAATGTCAAAACCAAAGCAAATAAATAGTCAGAAAACACTGCAGGGGTCAAGGTAGGTGGAGTTCAAGTAAGGTAAGGACAAAAGAGGATAACAACTAATGTCAATCTAAAGCATAGGAAGGAGTACCCCCAGGAGCTAACAAATTCTTAGAGATTCTTAAAGGAGTTGGACCAATCAGGATGCATGCTGAGAACCAGTATCATGTGGATATGCTTTGTCATTCCCTTGAACTTGAACAGGAAACACGAGGGCATAAATGGGAAAGCTGGTTAATGAATGTAGACACTGAAGAGTTATCTGAAGTGTATACAAGCATTAGGAGGGACCTGGCAGGGGAAGCCAGACAAAAGCAAGACCGTGACAAGCAAAAGAATAAACCAATAAACAAGGAGTGGAAGGAGAAGTGTCAACAAGATGTGTTAGCAAGAATCATTCCAAAACCAGCTGCCTGACACCTGATTGCTTCCTGCTTCCTAGATAATGAGCAACCATTTGGATGAATTAATGCAGAGCCGGTCATTTATTGGTATCTTCTTTTTGTTAACAAGAGTTCTTCTTCTTTAGTCATTCTCACCATGAACAATTATGTTGTACAATGAAATAACTTAAACCACTGGTGAGATATATAGCCAAATGAACCCAGAAATATGAACTGTAGGTTCTCACTTTTGGGCTCCTTTGCAAAATGCAAGTTGGATTGTTGTATCTGGTTTCAGTGGTTCTTAGTCATAGACATGGAACAAACATGCATCAAATTAATGTTAGAAGATAGTCAGACTTCTATATCATTATTCTTCCAGTTGCAGCTCAGCAACTCAGAAAGTATTGTCATCAATATGACAACAAAGCAACCAGCATTTTCAAAAGGAGAGGCCAGCAATGGCAGTCTCCATATTTCTCTAATGAAAGGTATACTTTAAGTTCTCTATTCATATTTTTTTACGTTAAAAGGGAAAAGAAAAAAGACTGGCTGACTTTATGGCCAACAGTCAGAGTCTCCAAAGGAAGATAGGCTTTCCTGCTGTAACAAAATGGTATCTGGGCAACTGTAAATCTGTTGCCAAATCATGACGAATGAAAAGAACGCCTAAAAAAGAGCTATTGCGCCAATGATGGGCATCTGTTAGGGCATAAGATGTTGGCAGCAGATGAGTGATTTACAGAGAAATCTTACTGGAACAGCTTCAGAATATATGTTTTTTCTAACAGTCAATTATTCTCTTCCAAACGAAAATTTAATGACAGTGTTGAAAATGCAATTTTGCCCTCTTTCCAATTTTAGGTAATATAAAAAAATTGAAAAACGCACACCCTAATCTAATAAAAATGAGAAAATATCTACAGGGTTGGTGCTGTAATCACAAATAGGGAGTTCCTTACAAAGCCCAGAACAAAGGCCACTGGTAAATAATTATATTAGTCAGCAGACCAAATTAGTGTATATGTATATAT